GTGTGTGTGTGTGTGTGTGTGTGTGTGTGTGTGTGTGTGTGTGTGCGTGTGTGTGTGTGTGTGTGTGTGTGTGTGTGCGTGTGTGTGTGTGTGTGGTGTACCATTCAACCTCATGGGGGGCTTCTCCCATCGGCTGGCTGGTAAATTGTATGGAAAGGAGTTAACTGCGATCAAATCCCTGCATTGCAAATGTCTTTGCATCCCCTGGCTTTTGGCCAATTCCCAGTTGTGGGGGGTAAAAAACGGGGGCCTGGTAGGGTCCTATGTGCACAAGAGGGGTCATCAGGGTGGTAGGCTAGACTGACGTCCCAAGGGACTGGGAAAGCCAACTCAGGACGCTGGAAAGTCAACAGTCAAGCTGTACTGCATCCGCCTGTCCAAGAGTCAAAAAGGTTTCCCTAGAAGTCAGACAGATGATTAACAGAGGCTTGAGATCTGGCCAATTTTTATTTTATTTTTTTTGGGGGGGGAGGATTTCTGGCCAAATTTGGCACACAGCAACCTTGAACGAAAACAAAAACAGGCAAAAAGAAAAACAGAAAACAAAAGATCTGGCCAAACAAATGATGCTTTCAGCCTTTCAGGGGAAAAAAAGGGAAAATAAAGAGGATGCTTTCAGTGTTTTGCATGGCTGATCCCATTAACCACTTGTGAGAAGTCAACCACACCCACAGATCACAGACAATCCAAAGGCTCAGGAATACGTTTCCAAAGCATCCAGGTGTGCTGGGGGTCAAGGCGACCTCAGACCACCTCAGACCGCAGCCGAATTACAGCTGCTGAGGTCGTAGAATCTCAGGGTCGTTTGTGCTTAGCGAGGAGGCAGGCCCAGCCGTGTGAAACACTAACAAAAGACTGGCTTGCTCCCGCTCTGTCATTCATTTTGCCTTGCGCTTGCTGGAGCACTGCGTGGCATTGCGGAGAGGTGGACTGAGAGAGAGAGGTAGAGTGAAAGTGTGAGAATTAGCTTGTAGCTTGAGACTGAGAGAGACCCATAGCTATGAGTAGGAGGTGTGCTTTCTAGTTTGTAGCTTGCACACACACACACACCCAAACTCTCGCTGTCTTTCTCAAATCATCACAAACCATGCATGAATGAAACAAAAAGGTATAGATAGGCAGTATAGTAGAAGATGCAAGGTTGGCCACGCTTGCGTGGTTGAGTGCCAAGTGCCCAAGCACCTTTCTGCCATCGAAGTGGCATCGCGCAGAGATCTCATGGAGTTTGGGATTATGGCACTCTATACATTACAGGGGTTAGACAGCAAAGTGAAAAGGGGGGGGGGGTTCTAGCCAGGGGGGTTAGACAACAAAGTGAAAAGGGGGGTTGTCTTGCCAGGGGTTAGACAGCAAAGTAAAAAGGGAGGTTGTCTAGCCAGGGGGGTTAGACATTAAAGTGAAAAGGGGGGTTGTCTAGCCAGGGGTTAGATAGCAAAGGGAAAAGGAGGGTTGTCTCCTTCTTCTTCTTCTTCTTCTTCTTCTTCTTTTGAAAACCAGGCTCCCACTAAAAGGTGGCACTGGGGTCTCTAGCAAGAGGATCCCTTAGAGGCTAAGAAAAGAAGTCGATAGAATCATAGAAGAGATGTAAACAGCTTTAACAAGTACGGAAGCAACTATGGTACCAGAGTGGCCAGGGACCACTTACCCGACCGGCCAAAAATGAATTAATATATATATATTGTCACATAACTATATATATATATCATACTTGCAACCGCACGAGCCGCACCCGCACAGACTGGATCCGTGTGGAGATCCGTACGGGGGGTGCTCGATCTCCGCACATTCTGCACCCGCACAGACCGGATCCGTGCGGAGATCCGTGCGGGGGGTGGCCGTGCGGATTTTTT